TATTTCACGTGTAGTTCAATCGTTGCAAATAAATAAATTAATATGAAAATGAATACAATCTTTACAACAGAAGGATAGCGGTAGCGGGGATTATGAAATATGAATTAGACACGAAATATAAATGAAACTCATTAAATATTCGCTTTAATAAAATTATTCGCTGCAAACCATTTTGTAAGCAAGGTTTTAATGCGGAATAAGTTTGTTCCGCATTCTTGTCAACGTAATTTATATATAATATCTAATTTTATTGTTGAATAATATTAATAATTATTATAGTTACAATCTCATCGTTGTGATATTCACGTTTTATACCATTTGGCAGTTTCTATTTAAAATCAGAAGAATTTTGTGATGTTCTAAAAGAGAAAAGAAGTTTTTTTTTTAAACTGTTTTTTAAATGAAGCAATAGAATAATAATAATAAAAAAAATAATGTGCTTAAAACTCGGCTTTATGTAATTTTGAATTGGTTACCTTGTAAAGAAAGTAAATGTTATCCAAATGAAAACTTGTACCCTTTTTGCTGAACAAAGATTTAGGCACTCGGAACAAAATTATGTACAGCATAAATAGTACAAATTTTAATTAGTATAAAATTATTTTCTTGTAGTTTTCTATTATTTTTTTCAAAACGAGATGTTCTTTTTTTAAATCTGATAGTGATAGATAATCTGATATGCACTTATATGAATAGCCATTTATGAAATGTGGATAGCTACTATATTTTTTTTTTATTTTAATTATTTTTTTAATAACATTATTGAAATAACGTAATCATATTCTTATAATTATTGTGCGTTTGATTTTTTTTTGTAGCGGGTAGGAATTGGAATAATTTTTTTTTTACTTAATTGAAGTTTATATTACGCTTGAATTTACTACTTAAATGGATTTTAAATAAATCAGAGTGAAATATTGAATTTGGCTCCTTTATTTACCAGGAAACGTATTTACTAAAATATGACGTAATCGGTAAATTCGTTAGACGACGTTGCATTCAATTTATTAACAAATTCATCGAAAGTGGCAGATTTGTTCGTATTATATGTACACGGTTCGTATTGATTTATTTATTGTTTTGATTACTGGATGAGGCATATAAACCTCTGACGACCGCACCTGGGGTCATATTAAATTGTGAGCACATTCGACATATTTTACACTGGTTTTTACACTTGGCTTTGTACGCGTAAACGGTACATATTGATTGGCTAGCTATTTTGTAACCGTAATAACTTATTTCGTAATGAAATGATATTATATTTATTTGCTGTAAAATTGGTAGATAATGGGATGGAATGGACAGTAGTAGCTTGTACATTCAGCCAGATTGGTATGCAACATTATTAACGTAACTCACTTTACTTTCACTTCACCTAAACTTAAACATCACCTGTACGGTTTTTACCTCTGAATATTCTAGAATCTATTTTTGTATATTTCAGATAAAATTATTTGTATAAAAAGATAAATCACAGCTTAAAATTATTTTTAATAACAATAAAAATTACAATTACAAGATTATGAAACAAAAGTTAGAACATCAATAACATAATTAGGAAATCAATTATGGAGAAAATAACGGACAGCGATTCTGTTACGACGATTGGAATGAAAGAAGGGGCGAGCGAGTGATTGCATCGCCTTTTATAGCCGTTTACCCTCGCTCTGCTTTTCACTCCTATACTATATTTATTATATATTCTATATTTAAAGTTGATTGTAAGAGATCCAATAAACAAGGAAATAAATAAAATTAATCCTTATAATGTATCTGTATAATATAAAGTGTTCGATTATGTGCAATAAAGGTTTACATAAATTTCATATTTTAAAATCTGTTAGTTTTGAGAATGACAAGTAAAGTGATTGTGAGTTTTGCTAAGGTGTGTACTTAAGAATGGCAGCACATTGACCTCAGTTCTCTATGCCGTTACATTAACGAAATGACGGTGTCATCGATTTTACTTGTACATTCAAGTAAATGTCAACTGTAAATCAATTGAAATCACGCTAGTGAAATTCGAGTTGTCCTTACAGAATAACACTACAGGATTTAATTAAAGAGTGTGTCGCATAAAAAATCCACTGCAATTGTGACAAAACTAGTTATTTTGATCTACAAATTAAACTGCTAAATCAATTTTGATAACATTTCTATGGGACTAATCTGTAAGTATAACCTTTAAGATAAAAAATAATTTTCTAAATCGGTTTTGAAGTCACGGAGATATGAGGTAACAAACTTACAAAAAATAAGGAGGTATTGCAGGCGTTCATAAGTTACGGTAACCGCTTACCATCAGGTAGACCGTATGCTTGTTTGCCACCTCAGTGGTATAAAAAAAGGAAGTTCTCAACTCGGTTGCATTTTTTTAAATCGACTACTTTTTTAACTGATTTCAAAAAGAAGACATTTTGAAGTCGATTGAAAAAGGAACCTATATCTCGCTTCATCCAAAATTTGAATATTAATAAACTGGTATATTTACTGTTTATATAAGTAAACACTTATTATGATATATTTTATTTAAATAACTTTAATAACTCCAAAGGCCTTTTGTATCAGTTCTCATTAAAATTTCATGTATTTATTATTTTTTATTGGTGCTATAAACTGTAAATAAATAAATAAATAAAAAAAACTTTATTGATCAAATGAAAATATGGTACAAATGGCGGACTTAAAGCAAGTAGCATTCTCTACCAATCAACCTTTGGGATGAATACTTAAACATAAAATAATGAAAACAATATACTCACTAAGTAGATATAAAAGATTATTACTATTTGTATTTAACGAGGTTTCTAACCCTCTTGTAATATTCCAGCTTCTTATAAACTATATCCAGATTCGCCAACTTTTCTTAACATGTTACGAATGACAAATCCTCGTATAAGACAAGAGAATTATATAAGATATTCACTGACAAATGCATTAGCGAGATGCATTAGAGATGGCACACAAAGTGTGTTTTCTAGTTATTTTGACGGCAGTTTATTATTTAGACGGTCTAGAAATATGTATTTATATGCTTTTTTATAGCTAGTCTAATTATTGTGGTGGGTTACCATCTATAACTAATTGTTAGTAAGTTATTAACATTACCGTCTATAACTTATTGTTAGTAAGTTATAGATGGTAATGTTGTTAGCATATCGTATCAGCCGTTAACTGTCTACTGTTGAATATAGACTTCCCCTCCTTTGGGTTCCAGTAATTACTATGCTTGGCAGACGGTTGGTAGCCGCAGTTAGGCTTTGGTGATGTTTTAAGAGGGACGCTGCTGTTCATCTCTCTACTATTATGCCTCATTCTACGCCGGAACCATATAGCATTGTTAGCAAATGACAACAATATAGGAGTAAAATATACATATATCCTCTCAGATCGACTTCTACGCGTTTCCTCTAAAAGTCATCGTGGTGAATATGTAGTGAATTCAACTCAGGCTCAACTGATCTATTCATATCTCACTGGTATCCCATCAGCATAAACCCTCAGCGTGTACCCATTAGCATTATTTTTTGTCAACCTTTATACGAGTCATTTTTTTGCAATTTTCCACAAATTTTAATGCCACGCGACCGAGTTATAATTTTATCCAATAAAAATTATTATCAAAATCGGATTATCTTGTAAAAGGTTACGTGTCATTCATAATAAATATATTATAAACGGGAAAGATTTTTATTGTTTGTTTATAATGGAAACTCAAGAGCTAGTCAACGGATTTTAAAAATTCTTTAACATATAGATATGTTACGTTATCAGTCAGTAAAATAAGCTATATATTACTTTTAAAAATTATATCTACCCTTTCAAACCCGGGCCGGATGGATAGTAATAAAAATATATATGGATTTGAAATCGCCGTGTATGCCCCGGTATAGAATTGGCCATCGCTTCCTTTCCCGTAGGGTAGACGAGGGATGGGCAGCAGGGACCTTCTTAAAACATCTCCAAAAGGCTGACTGCAGTTGCCAATCCGCCTGCTAAGCCTGGCAAGTACTGGCAAAACTCTCCTTATGGAGAAGGCTTATGTCCAGCAGTGAACACTTAACCGCTGATATAATAATAGATTTGAAAATTATTTTTAAGCAACTTTAGAAAATACCTAGGATTTTTCACCTGATATTAATATTATAGATTTTTTATATATATATATATATATATATCATCATATATATATATATATATATATATATATATATATATATATATATATATATATATATATATATATATATATATATATATATATATATATATATATATATATATATATATATATATATATATATATATATAACATCGTCAATAGTATTTAATGATTATTTATGTAATTGATAGTATTTATTCTTGAGTCGGATGGTTGGTCGGTTTTTTTTTCTATTAATAGTTAGTTTATTTAGTGGTTCTTATATACTTACACTTTATATCGTGGCAATTTAAAATTTGATTATAGTAAAATTATATTCAACATTGAAGAGATTCATTTTAATCGAATTATTAAAAAATAATCATTAAAATTGATCCAGAATAGGCAAATATGATAGGAGAGAAACAGGGGGGGGGGGGCTGATTGTTTACTAGTTCTATCAATTTTCTTGTCAATATTTATTCTTATAACACGTAATAACACTAAATACAGTAATGTCAATGTATACCACAAGATATAACATAGTCTAAGGGCCATTGCTAGCAATATACCATATCAGGTCGACCTCTGTGTGGTCTCCTGAAAACCATCGTGTTTAGTTCCTGGTAAATTCACGTGGACCAACGAATCTTCATTCACTGGTACAACGCCAGCGTAAATTGAAGACACTGACGGGCTTACAATTTCATTTTCATCACATTAACAAACAGATATTGTGGTAATTAAACAAGTGCTGAGAGATGAGAATTCACGTCTATAATTCACAAAGTTCCCAGAGATCGAAACTCGGGGTATATATCTATTATGACAAAGTGAACAACCCGTTTGTCCATCGTTCCCCGGCCGAACGTCTCGGCCATTATTATCGCTCCTAACAACCTGAAAAGGATTCCATTTCCCTCGTGTTTCTGATAATAATTTCCTATAAATTTTCCCCAGTCGCCTCCAGCGCGCGGTCTATAGAGGACGTGTCGGTGCGCTCCCGTCATATCAAAAATACAGTGCAACACAACAGCTGTGAGAGATACAATAAAAAATATATTGTTAATAGTGTTTTTTGATCAATAATATTGGATAGTTTTAAACGGTAAGTGATTTTTTTGTTTATTTTTAAACAACATGTTCGAATACCTGTTGCTTGATACGATCGGCAATGCATAGTCTTGGCGGCCGACTGGAGCGGCTCGACGCGCAAAAAACACGTTGTTTTTTTTTTCATATATTTCAATTTTTTTTTTCTCATTATATTTGGCGTACTAGTCGTGTAGGTATTAGTATTTTGTTATCGCGTGTAGGCGTTATCGTATCGATTTTTTCTGTTTTATCATCTCGATGGGACATCAATTTGTGTTCGTTAGACGCCTCCGAACGCAGCATGTTGGCGTATTAAAGCAATTTACTTTATTTTCTCGACTATAAAATGTTATTGCATTTTTATTTCATTATCTAGGCAATAATGTTTTCATGAACAACGGCCTAATTTCGGTAACTTTTTTGAACGAATTCGGTGTGGGTATTCTGATTGGCTTCTTTCTGTAGGCGGCGGTAACCACTTTCCATCAAGTGGGCCGTCAGATTATTTGCCATTTTGAGTATCATAAAATTTTTTTGTTACTTTTTAAGTAAATTACAAAAGAAAGAGACACAATTTGTTTTGTATTTTTTCTTTTTGAAAATGATCATTTTTTAATGAAAACAATAAAAACAAACAAGCTGGTGGCCCATCTTATACAACATGAATAGCAATATGAACATAACTTCTGTATACTGTGATACACGTGGCATCCCTTACGCGTCGCCATTCCTGAGAACCAAGGTGTAACCTCCGTACCCTGTAATTTTTGAGGTTTAATCTATGTGTTGTCTGTGTGGTCCCAGCATAGAATAAACCACCCCTTCCTGTACTGTGTGTATTGTAAGAAGCGATTAAATGAACTTAATGGTAGAGGGATGGGCAGCAGCGTCCCTCTTAAAGCATCTTTAAAAGCTTAACTGCAATTGCTAACCCGCCTGCCAAGCGTGGCAACAACTGGCAAAACTCCCATAATGGGGAAGGCTTATGTTCAGCAGTGGACAGTTAAAGGATGATATGATGACGATGATTATGAAAGTAAAATTCTGTCTGTTTATTACATTGTCGAGGCTGAGTCGACCGAATTATGAAGAAATTTAGCAAAAATGTATTGTAAAAAAAATAAAGTACTTAGGTATCTAAATAATATATATGGTGTCATGAAAAATATAGTGAAATCAAAGTTAGAAAAAGTTATTCAGTGACAGAAATGCTGGATTTCGACGATTTGATTATCTGTAAATTAGCAATTAACACAGTACAGTAAATTAGCAATTAATACTTCACGAAATAATTGCTAATTTACAGTACAGTCGATTAGTAATTGCTTCGAGATGGATTGTTGATTGTCAATAGTAATGGTATTACATAGACGATTGCTTCCTAATCGCTAGATAGGCGGGGTAAGGGATTATTAGTAATGTGGACTACCAGTCACATTGCTAGCATAATATATCTAATAAGATCGACCTCCACATGGTCTCTCCTGGAAACCATCGCGCTGAATTAAAGGTGCCATTCATCACGATGTGCTAACTGAGCTGCCTTTTCATTTTCATCTATCATCCCTCACTGGTGCCTCGCCAGCGTATACCGGTAGCGCAGGCGGGGTTGCCATTCCATTATCATCCATTTAAAAAAAAATTGCTAGATGGAATAGATACATTTTTCTGTAACAAACAGCATTATTAGGGATGAAGTAGCAGTAGACATAATATTAGATAAAAACATAAATTTTTCATAATACTCTGACCCATTCGTGTTTCTGCTGTGAAGCAGTTGTGTTTGCATGGTCGCGTGTCGGTTTCGAAGGTGAGATATAGTAATGAAATTATAAAGTACATAGGCGTAACATTTTAGTCCTCAGAAATGGTATGACGGATATTATGGGCATCGCAGTATATATACTATTATGTCCATGTTACTGTTCATGTCTATAGGTGGCAGTTACCACTTTCCATTAGGTAAGCCGTCAGCTTCTTTGCCATTCTAGGTTAAAAAAAATTGTAAGATTATTTAAGATTAGGATTGACAGTAATTATCGAGCAATTTTTGGCAATCGCAAATTATTAGTAAGGTACGTAATCAAGAGTTCGATTATCTATTTAATTTAACCTACCCTCCAAAAATAAGCGTAATATTGTCTGGTATACAAATTGGGAATCTATAATTGCCTAATGAATGGTGTAAATATAATATTTTCAATCATTCTAGATATAAGCTGTTGATTCCAGATGTAATACCAGAGGGAGACTTTGTACAAAAGTCGATTGCTTAGGTACCTCTGTCCCATTCGTGTTTCAACCGTGAAGCAGTTGTGTTTGCATGGCTGTGTTTCGGTTTGAAGGGTGGGATATGGCGTGAATTTACTGGGTACAGAGGAATAACACCTGAGTCCTCTGGAATGGCAACGCATGGGGGGTATCATGGGCGAAACAGTATACTCTTATGTTCATAGTACTGCTCATGTCTATAGGCGACGGTTACCACTTTCCATCAGGTGGGCCGTCAGCTTGTTTGCCATTCTAAGTTGAATATCTCTTCTCATTAGCAACTTTGCAGGTACTTACAATAAATACAAGGCTATTGTTAAATTTTGATTTACACTTTAATAAACATTTTAATCAATCCAATAAGAGGCAGATCTATTACCTTTCATTAGATGAAGCAAAATAATAATTATTCTAAAATAACTTAAACTCTTTCGATTTTTTACTTCATTACCATCACTTACAGAATTAAAGTGTTGGGAGGAACATTAAGCGGTTAAGAATCAAACCAGCTCCCCAATACACTGGCTTACTGTGTTTCTACACACTATTTGGCTTGACGTATGGTTCCGGCCTAGAATAGGCTATCCCTTATATTCCCGTGGATGTCGTAAGAGGAGACTACGAGAGGGCGAGGGATGGGTAGCAGCGTCCCTCTTAAAACATCCCTAAAGATAACCGCGGTTGCCTATCCGCCTGTCAAGCGTGGCAACTATTAGCAAAACTCCCTTTATGGGAAAGGCTTATGTTCAGCAATGGACAGTTAACGGCTGAAATGATGATCTTAAATTCTTAAAATATCAGCAAAGCTTAACTGCGGTAACCAACCCACCTGCCAGGGGGGAAAGAGATTGTTAGTAAAGGGTTCTAATGTATCCATTGCTAGCAATACACCTTTTCACGTCGACCTCCAAGTTGTTCCCCCTGGAAACCATCGTGAACAATTCTTGTTGAATTCGTTACGATGGGTTAACTGACCTGTTTCATCTCTCACTGGTGCCCCGCCAGTATATACCGATAGCGCGGACGGGATTACCATTCCATTATCACCCATTAAAAAAAACCTACCTGCCAAGCGTTGTATTTACTGGCAAAACCCCCAATAGAGGGAAGCCTATGTTCAGAACAGTTAATCACTGATATAATGAAGATGATATACGTAATCTTGAAAATGACTTCGTACTGATTAAATCCTGAAAACAGCCTGTCTGCCAAAGACATGACCATAAAAATACTATAAACATCATATGATTTTTATCCTATAAAAACAGCCACTACAAACGTGACAAAGTTTTTATGGGATCTACACGCTTTCCGTGTTGATCCCTTATCAACTTTGTATCACTATCGGCTACAAAAGGAATTACCTAAATCGGATCAGAATGGAAGACATTAAGTAACACAGGATAAAAACAATGGGTGAATTGTGAATCTACTTCTTAACAGGATTTATATCCGGACTTATCGAAGTGCGAGTCCCTTTTTTATATATCGTCAAAGTTATTTATTAATTTTATTTATTTATTCATTAGTACAAATATGTGTACATGGCGGACTTAATGCTAAAAGCATTCTCTCCCAGTCAACCATAGGGAAGTGTCAGAATACTCGAATGCGGTACTACTAATTATTGATATACATACATACTAAAATTAAATATATAAACAAATAAATATATATGAATAACAAATATACTTACACATATATGATATATACTATATTACACACGAAATTGAGAATAATATAAAGCACTTACTGCTCGGATAAAGATAAAAAGTTATCAGTCATTTTTCAATAACAATTGAATAATTTTCAATGTTTTTGATTGAATATTTAAAAATTACTCTTTCCAACAATATTAATACCGTAGTTTTTCGTCAGAATAAAACTAAAAAACCAAATCTTTTTGTAATATGGATAAAATCATATTACGCCGACCTCAAATGATTGGGATAACCGGAAGATGATGATTTAAAAATTACCATGTGGTTTCGGAATAAGTAGAATAGGCCACCCCTTCTTTTCTCGTAGGTGTCATAAGAGGCGACTAAGGGAGAAATAGTGATGGGCAGCAGCGTACTCATAAAACATCTCCAAAGCCTAACTGTGGTTGCCAATCCGCCTGTCAAGCGTGGCAACTACTGGCAAAACCCTTCAAGGAGGAGATTTATGTTCAGCAGTGGACAATTAAAGGCTGATATGATGATGATGATGATGAAATATAAGAACAAGAAATTCCGAAAATTTGACATAATAAATTTTACACTTATTTCAAAACTAGCTGTATTCCGCGCCTTTGCCCGCGTGAATTGGGACGTAAAGTATCCTATATGCTAAATTAGGATATAACCTTCCTGTGTAGCAAATTGTATTCAAATCTGTTTGGTAGTTTTTGTGCAAAAGAGTAATAAACAGCCATTCATTCTAAGGCTTGGATTGACTTCCATAGGTTACTTTTTATCCCGGTCACGTGAACAAAATCGCGATAAAAAGCTGGTACATAATAGAATAAAAAATGTTATATTCCACATAATTATAATTTCAGTCTCTAAATTGAACAAAACAAAGTTTCTCTCGCTGCATGTTTTTCCGCTAATTCCTAATTTAACCATACAACTGATTTTAATATGGGTTTCAATTACGTTTAGATATTTTTTATTACAGAAAGTTTGTATGTATACCTACAACACATACTAATTGAGCTTTTATATAAGTAAATAATTCAATGTTTTGTTATAAATTGCA